TTAGAAGTCTAGCATTTAAATTGATCACCAAAGTTGCATATCAAAAAATAAAAATGATAATAAAAACATAGCTATTTTGAAAATGTCTCTGAATCATTGCACTTTGATAATGATGTCTCATACTGTCTTAGATAAAGTAATGCATTTAAAGAGGTGTTAGACTGGGATATAGTGTGTGTGTGTTTGTGTGTGTGTGTGTATGTATCAGGGAAGAGTCTATTAGGAGACACATCAATGTTAGGGAAGACCCTGGAATATAGTGTATTGAGGCACCCAATACTGGACAAAATTGTGAATCAACATTTGTTCATTTAGATTTGAGAAATCTAAATAAAAAAAGAAAGGACCATTAGACCTCCCATTCTCCTCAACTCTAGCTCTTTCTCTCTCTCCCCCAACTCTAACTCTCTCTCACTCTCATTCCCTTGCCTACTCAAGGGACTTGCATGCTGTTCTAGGCCTTGTCTTCTGAGTGAAGCTTCTGTGATCTAGACACATTTTTCTACTTTTCTTTGTCCTAAATACAGTAATGCAGTTGTCTACCCTGTTAATGCCAAGACTGGGTTTAGACCTGACCAGCCTAACACCTGGAATGTTGCTAAATGATACTTCCTACCACAGACTTCATATTTTTCTCTGAAATTGAAGTAACTACTGTTTTTCATTTTGAAATAATTATTTTTAATTGTTAACACTTTTTAAAAGATAATGCTTATTTCTTAAGTATATTACAGGCATTTAAACATTCCAATGTTTTTCATCCTAGATTCAAGAAAAAAAAGATAAAGTAATAGTTTAATAAAATCACCAAGAGTGGGTAATACCTTAGTTTTAAGGTAATTTGTTATTTATTTTTATACTCTGTATCTCTTCTCTGCTTTTCAAATTCTAGTATCCATACCTGAAGCTTGCTGTACTATGTCTATGATATACACCATTTGTTTTTAAGGCAAAAGCTTTAAGACACATACTAGAATTCTTGAGTTATCTTTTAGAAACAGTTACCTTATGAATAAAGTATCAGCCTAACTAGAGGGAAATTTGGATTTCACTATTGCCTTTTTCCCTGAATTGCTGGGAATGTCAGCACTTGATCCTTGTTTATTTGAATTCATTGTGACCTTTTTGCCATTTTGAATGCTTCAGATTCTCAAATTGCACATTGGAAGAAGACCCATTCCTTGCTTAGTTGCCCTTGTAGGGTGTCGATTTTAATGTCTAATATTTTGAGCTGCTTTAGAAAAGTAGGATTATCATATAAGAAATACATAATCATTTTATAAAAAGAAAACTAGTCTTTCTCAGTATATACCTTACTTTCTCGGGTACTGAAAGTTTGTGGCCACTTAAGCAAGTCCATGTAATAAACTCCTGTAGCATAGTCTAGTCCCCAGAATATGGGTTAATTTTTGTTTTCCCCTTAGGATATAATTTTTTCATTAACCACTTTCACTTGAGTAAAAGGAAATCTTTGAACTGCTTTAAAAGTAGCTACAATGCTTAACTTGTATAGTTGCCGAATCATGCTTTTTCTTGTCTTTCATTTCTGATTAACTTTCTCTGAGCAACGTAGTCTTATATTTATATTAGCATCTATTCACTTGAACTAGTAGTTACAGTTATAGTAACATATAACAATATTTAACTATAATAGCTAATAAAAGCTAACATTTACTGAATGCCTACTATGTGCAAAGGACTAAGACCCAGTGCAAAACTTTTCTTTAGGACAAGGTTTGAATTTTAATAGTGAAGCTGAGAATATGATTGTGAATTCACTGGAATGTTGTATAATTGGCTGTGTTACATAGTGAGGCAATGTAATTGCAGTGTATGGCAAACATGTGGCAGCTGTTTGTTGTTGCCTGGCAGATAGGCTTACATTAGCCTTAATTTCTTTTTCTTCATGTATCATTATGCCTGTATATTTATAGTCTTGTTTCTTTATACCAATCTGAATCTTCCTAAATGTCAATAGCATTAATCATTGTAGGCATAGTGATATGAGGTCTAAATGATATGAGAATTCATATTTTTAACGGAAATTACTACTTTTTTATATATTATGACAGATTTTCCATCCCTGCCATCAGAAAGTATTGTCCGTATGCTCATGGTGATATACAAACCAAATGGTTCTTCTGAAAATTTAAAAATCTAAAGTATTTACAGGGATTGCTATTAGTGTACTTTTGTGTTTTAAAGAATTCACGTGGCTATTAAACAAATCCTGGATATTGGACAAACAGCAATAAAGGTTTAGAAAAATGAAATTTCAGTTAAAAAAAATTATGCCTCCACTCCCCAGGGAAGAAATAAAAGATTTTATATTAGAAACATGAATTTAGAATTCAGAATAAGTATTGCTTATGACATCAAATTTTATTGTGATGTATCAGGTGGAAATTTAGTCAACATTTTTCTTAAAGCAAAAGACTCAGGCTATGTGTATATTGAATGCTAGTAAATTCTAATTTCCTTTCTCCTTTTCCTTTTCCCCCACTTCTTCTCCCCCTCCCTTCTTCCCATCTCTCTCTGTCTCCTTTTTGATTAGTAATATTTTAGAGTTGAAAGCTATGCTAAAGGTACCCATTTCTTTTCAGAATAATTTAACTTTTCTTCTTAAGATTTTGTGAACATCCATTCCTTATGTAAAGAACATTTATTATGCCCAACGGAAGTGAGAGAGTTGTGGGACTACCCCTTAATGAGACCAAATCATCCCACAATTAGCCGCTTTAGTTTAGTGGTTGACCAGGACTTGTTTACATGGATAAGGTTTCTGTTTGTAATTTTTGTTCTATATGCAAAATACTGTAATAAATAATTTATACCTTTATATGTACCAAGTTTATTTTGAAAAAAATAAACTGGATACATTTATTGAACAGCTATTAAAATATGTACACTTTCCCTAAAATTTCATTTATATTTCAAAATCAGGGCTCAATTTTAAATATGTTTTAATGATACTGTGTTGTGTTTACTAAGTGAAATTGATCCACCAAGGAGCTGAAATTAGTACTCTAATTTTAAGCTTTATTTCTTAAGACAAAATATCCATGACTTTATCACTACTGTGATCCCCATGATATTAAAAAAAAAAAGCTGGTAAAATTATGTGATGAGTTTGTATATAATAAACTTCCTATCAAACCCATTCTGTTTTTTTTTTAATTTTTAATTTTTGTGGGTACATAGTAGGCAAATTTATGGGGCATATCATATATTTTGATACAGGCATACAATGCATGATAATCACATCAGGATAAATGAGGTATCCATCACCTCAATCATTTATTCTTTCTTTGTGTTACAAAGAATCCAATTATATTTGTTTAGTTATTTTATTTTATTTTATTTTATTTATTTATTTATTTATTTATTTAAAGACAGGGTCTGTCTCTATTACCCAGGCTGGAACGCAGTGTCATGATCATGGCTTACTGCAGCCTTGACCTCTTGGGGTATCCTCCCACCTCAGACCCCCTTCTCCCCACCTCTACCCCCCTCCTCCCCACCTCTACCCCCCTCCTCCACTGGCTGGGACTGCAGGCGTGTATACCACTACACCCAGCTATTTTTTAATTTTTCGTAGAGATAGGGGTCTCACTGTGTTACCCAAGCTGGTGTCAAACTCCTGGGCTCAAGCGACTCTCCTTCCTTAGCCTCCGAAAGTGCTGGGATTGTAGGCATGAGCCATTGCACCTGGCCACTTAGTTATTTTAAAATATACAATAAATTATTGTTGACTATAGTCACTCTGTTGTGCTATCAAATGCTAGATCTTATTCATTCTAATTGTATGTTTGTACTCAAACACATTTTCTATCCTAAGCTGTACTGAAACCACTTCCACTGGATGTATTCCATACAAACTTTCTTTTGATTGGTTGTTTTCACTTGCTAGAGTTCTAGTAAAACGCTGAGGATAACTATTATATTTCTTTTCTTTTCTTTTCTTTTTTCTTTCTTTCTTTTTTTTTTTTTTTTTTTGCCCAGGCTAGATTGCAATGGCGTGATCTTGGCTCACTGCAACCTCCACCTCCTGGGTTCAAGTGATTCTCCTGCCTCAGCTCCCAAGTAGCTGAGATTACAGGCACCCACCACCATGCCTGGCTAATTTTTTTTGTAGTTTTAGTAGAGACAGGGTTTCACTATGTTGGCCAGGCTGGTCCTGAACTCCTGTCCTCAAGTGATCCGCCCGCCTCAGCCTCCCAAAGTGCTGGGATTACAACCATGAGCCACTGCACCGGGCAGATAACTATTATGTTTCTAATGAAGTTTATAAAAATATTGAACACTTGTAAAATTGAGTAACCTATAATCCATGACTGTGAATATACAATTTCTAATCAACTTAACTTTAGCTTGATTTAGAAACTTTTTTTAGGGATCCAGTGTTTGTTTATAATAGGTTTATCAGATCTATCTAGTTTTAGACTCTTAAATGCCCTATAAAAACCTAAAGCATACTCACTCAGTGGAATGTCCATAAGATTTCTCTGAATACAAACAGAGAGAATATTTGCTGTGGGCTCAGAGAAACAAGTTTCAGCGTTTGCTTCTAGGGGAAAAGCATTTTATGTTTTACTTGGTAGGAATAGGGATTATGCAGGTAAGAGTCAATATGTATTGAAATTTTTAAAGAATTAATTCAATATAAATATAAAGAAGCTATGATTTGTTAGGAATTCTTAACCTCTGTTTCAGAGATTTATTGCATTTATTTATAATAGTTTCTCAGTCTTGTATTTTGGGAGGATATATTAAGATGTAGGAGTACAGAACTTTTTTTTTTTTTTTTTCTTTTTACTTTTTGAGACTTTTAGGAGGGATAGAGGGGATTAATCTATGGAATGGATATGAAACAAGGCTAATAGATTTAAACAATTTCAGTAATTGTTTAAAAGCACACTGAATCTAATGAGATCTGGCACTTGTTTTTCCTGAAATGGATTACCCACTGCTTTTTTTTTTCTCTCCCCAACTTCTCATAGGAGTCCAGTTTCCTCCGATTGCAGCACAAGACCTTCCTTTTGTTCTAAAGGCTGGCTACCTTGAAAAACGCAGAAAAGGTAAACTTAAGGTTCTAATGAAAAATGTAAAAATGGTTTCATCCTTAGATAGAACATGTTTGTAGTATACATGTGGAGGCAATATTCGTTTTAGGTGATTAAAGAGTTTTAAGATTGTAAGAAAATCTGAATGACATTATCCAAACCACAAAATATAGCTCTTAGCTTTAAATAATTTTTAATAAGAAACATTAGGTCAGATTTTTAGTTGTCAACCTTGGTTATTTGTAAATGATTCAGGAGCTGTTTCCTGCCTCTCAAAGGAAAGCTGCAGGCCATGACTATATTCTCAAAGGTGGGATTTCTCACCAGTATCTCACTGGGCTGAGCAGCAGGTTCTCCTGTGCCCAACCTGGCATGCACCATGGTTCAGATCAAGCCTGGCATCTTGTCTGCCATTGTCTATTATTCATTTCAGTGTTCCTCTCCATTGGCTGTGATAATTGGGAGTTGACCATATGGTCTCACTTTTTCAACACCAATATTTAATGGAAATGAAATATGGAGGTGGTTTTACAATATGAGAAATGAAAAGCAGTCTTTTCATTACCATTCTGCTTATCTCTCTGGTAGTCCCTTTGGGCCTCTATTTATATTTCATTTTGCTTTTCTTAGCTGAATTTTAAAACTGAAAGAGTAACAAAAAAAAAAAAAAAAAAAGTAGTAAAAAAGAGTAATAATCTAGGTTAGCTCCTCCCCCTTCTTTTTATAACAGATGAGAAAATGAGACCCAAATGGATCAATTATCTCAAGATTGTATAGTCAGATGCCTTTTTGACTGTCCCTGTCAGAAAACTGGGTTAGCCATGCTGTTGATCCCATAAGTATGGCAGCCCCGTAGCTACTTTACTTTATTCCCTTTGGCTTTGTTGGTTTGTTGTTGTTTGGTTTTTTGTCTCTTGGAAAAGAAGATACAAATTAGTCACAGAATGTTAGAGCCCAGAGGAATCTTAGAAATCATATTAATTAACTTTTTCTTTTACAGTAAGGAAATGGCCTTACATTTTCCCCTCTTTATTGCAGATCACAGCTTTCTGGGATTTGAATGGCAGAAACGGTGGTGTGCTCTCAGTAAAACAGTATTCTATTATTATGGAAGTGATAAAGGTAATGTTGGTGTTCAATTATATCAACTACTGTTGCATAAGAATTTTTTGGCCATCCCTTCCCCCTCTTTTGGGTACAGAGTAAACTGAAGACAAACAAATAATAACTGGAAACTATAACAATTATAATCTAATTTACGATTCATTATTTGACAAATGCTCCAAATACCAGAATGCCCTCAGAACTAAAACAATTGTGTTGTATTGAATTGGAAAAGAGAGTAAAATAACTTTAATCTATGTGGCCTTTCACCTTAGGAAATATTTATTATCCAGTCTACTGTTGTAGAATTTCTGGAAAAGTTAAGAACATAGGGTCGTGGGAGTTTCAATGGCAGAAAATAGATTATTTTTCTTAAGTATTTTAAAATAAAATTAGATAAAATTAAATATGAATGGCACCTTTCTGAGCTCCCTTTACAGATTTAAGGAATAACAGCAAACATGTATATAGAATTTACTATATACTGGGTACCATTCTAAGCACTTTGTCTAAGTACGTTAGCTGTGTTAACTTGTTTAGCTCGCAACAACTCTGTAAGCACTATTATTAGCACCATTAATTTTACTTTTAGGAAAACAGAACAGAGAGGTTAAGTGACTTGTTCAAGGTCACAGAGTTGGAAAATGGCAGATCTAGGAATTTTTTTTTCCTTTGTTTTTAGAAACAGGGTCTTGTCTTGGTGCCTAGGCTGGAGAGCAGTGGCTGTTCACAGGTGCAGTCATCACACCCTATCGCCTCAAACTCCTGGACTCAAGTGATCTTCCTGTCTCAGTCTCCCAGGAAGCTGGTATTACAGGTGCACACCGCGGCACCCAGCTCAAATTTAGGATTTTAACCTAGAGAATATGATTAGAGTCCATGTTCTTAACCACTATTGTCACTACATTAATTTAGAAATAATAGGATACATTTTGTAACTTCATTGTTAATTAATCAGTCTCTTAGTTGCAGTTAACATAATTTTAAGTTTGTTATTTGAACAAATAAAGCCACCAAATAATGCAATTTAAAGATTGTAAGCTTTCTGAGTTTCACTTTATTCTAGGGAAAACAGGCTAGGAGTTGAATATTATGAAGTAAAGCTTGTATGGAAATAGATAATGTTCATTTCCAGAAAGGACACTTTAAGAAGAAAAGGGCAAGAATATCACTGAATGTAAGCTTTCCTATGGAATTGTTATCAATGTTGTTTGGAAATTTATGTTTTATTTGACATTATTTATAGTTTTTAGAGTTTTTTTCCCCTGTTGTAAAAACATACAGGTAAGATTGTCGTATTTCAGATAAGTCTGAAATACTTACATAATGCTGGAAGTTGTTCTTACCTTTAGGCTAATGAGATTAACAAATTAATTAATTTAGTAGCTAGTTTGCATTCCATCACTAATTTACAGTATGTTCAAATGTAGTAATGGCATCAGTGAAGTGTAAACTGTAAACAGCTATAAACAAGCATCTTTCTTCTGCTAAGGGTCAGTAGTGAAGTAGGTCAGAAAATTTAGAGTCCAAGTTCAGTTACGATTATCATAGATCATAGAAATACAGTTTTGCATGATATTGTGAATTTAGATCAAGATATTACCTTCCACAGAATATCCTCTTTTTCACCAGATCAGGGGAGGGAGGTTTCAGATCCTTGTGACTTTGATTCAATTAGGCTTCTCATTTCTGATTTCTTTAAGAATCAATGAATACTAATGTCAGTGTTTCCTCCATTTCTAGTCCTGACTGACATATAACAATGGTTAGGTCAAAGATTAGCAAGAGTTTCCCCAAAACCCAAAGCGTGTTAATATTTACTTCCAACACTAATATAATATATTCAGTGAAAACATTTTAGTTAGAATTATTTGGATATGAGTTACATTCCCTTTTTTTTTTCTTTTTTAGAGATGAGGGGGCCTCACTCTATCACCCAAGCTGGACTGCAGTGATGCCATCATAGCTCACTGCAACCTTGAATTCCTGAGTTCATTTTTATTCTTATTTGATGAGACCTAATGGTAGTAACATTGTTTGTAATTTCCATTTCAACTACTTTGTGATCCATTTAGCCCTTTCTGTCATTTCTGTTACTGGAAAGGGGTCTTGATCCAGTCCCCAAGAAAGGATTCTTGGATCTCAACCAAGAAAGAATTTGAGGCCAATCCATAGAGGGAAGTGAAAGCAAGTTTATTAAGAAAGTAAAGAAACAAAAGAATCGCTACTCCATAGGCAAAGCAGAGCATAGGCTGCTCAGCTGCTTACACTTATTGTTACTTCTTGATTATATGCTAAACAGGGAGTGGATTATTCATGAGTTTTCCTGAAAAGGGGTGGGCAGTTCTCAGAATTGAGGGTTTCTCCCCTTTTTAAACCATATAGGGTAACTTCCTGATGTTGCCGTGGCATTTGTAAACTATCATGGCATGGGTGGGAGTGTCTTTAACATGCTGATGCATTATAATTAGTATATAATGAACAGTGAGGAAAACCAAAGGTCACTTTTCATCGCCATCTTGGTTTTGGTGGGTTTTGGCCAGTTACTTTACTGCATCCTTTTATCAGCAAGGTCTTTGTGATCTGTACTTTGTGCCAACCTCCTATCTCATCCTGTGACTAAGAATGCCTAACCTCCTGGGAATGCAGCCCCCATAGGTCAAAGCCTTATTTTACCCACCTCCTATTCAAGATGGAGTTGCTCTGGTTTAAATGCCTGACATGTTCACTTTAAAGAAATTACCATTTTAGCATTCCTTTTTCATGTTGATGTTTGAAGATGTGGCTTATATTTCCTTAAATTTTTCCCTTTTACTTTGCAGCCTCCTGTTTCCAGTGAAATTTTAGATTTTTTTCTAGTAGTTCTTTTTTCTGTTGGCGGTTTCCTTTGAAATTCTTAGCCAGTTCCTCTCCTTTAAGGGACTCCAAAAACAGATCTATCTTTCGACAGTTTTTAATTGCTTGTTTGACATGATCCCGATTTCCTTCCTTTATATCAAATACTTTTTTTCTTTTGCGAAATTAGATATGATTTTTTATAGCTTTATTTACTGTATGTGTGAACCGTTTACCTAATAGGAAGAGCTCCTATCTAGATATATGAGAACTATAATCCTCCAACTAAGTAGGATTTAGATAAATGGATTATAAAGACACGAAGGAGTTGATACCACTTACTAGGTTAAAGTGTGCTTTGTTACTGTTTGACAGATACATAGTTCACATTTTCTACCATATTGTGTGTGCCAAAAAACACATTGACTTATGAAGATAGTAGTGGCTTAGAAAGAGTAGTTCCAACCTGTTGGGTAAATAATGCACTTACCATTGTACCAATAAATATTGTCTGTATTTATTATTTATAGCCATTTGGGACCCTTAAGCAACAAATACATATAGTACATATTTCAACACCTGAGGAAATCTTACTCATCCTTTCATCTCCTTCCTTTTCCTTTGATTGTCATGAGTCTCATTCATCAAAATTCTTAGGTCCTAGATGTTCAGATGTCCTTCAAGTCATTCACTCGTTCATTCACTTACTCATTCTTTCTCTAAATTTGATAAATATTTTTTCAGACACTTGTTAGCTAGTAGGCACTGAGGATCCAAAGATCCTTAGAGGTGCTCACAGTTTGGGTTTTGTGGATATCAGTGAGAGAGGGAAGGATGTTGTTTGGTTAGAAGAGGGAGCTGGGCAGGTAAACTGACCGTTTCAATGCAGTACAGTAAGTAATTTAAATAAGCTATCTTTGGATCACAAATGAGGGAAAGCTAACTGCCTAGGGAAGTTAGGGAAGATGTCCTGGTGGAGAGAACACTTCATTGGGCCTGAAAGAATGAGTAGGAGTTTGTTGGTTGAATACTATGGTGTGAATGTATGTGTACCTCCAAAATTCACATGTTGGAAATTAACTCCCAAGGAGATTGTATTAAGAGCTGGGGATTTTAGGAGGTGATTAAGGCATGAGGGCTTTACCCTCAAGAATGGGATATGTCTTTTTATTTAAAAAAAGTCTGGAGAGAGCTGTGGAACCCTTCTTTTGCCTTTCCACCATGTGATGGTACAGCATTCAACTCTTCTGGGGGATGCAGCAATCAGGTGGCATCCTGAAGCAGAGAGCAGCCCTCACTAGGCACTGACCCTGCTGGTACCTTGATCTTGGACTTCCCAGCTCCCATAACTGAGAAATTAATTTCTGTTGTTTATAAATTTCCCAATTTTGGGTGTTATAGCAGCATAAACAGACTAAGACAGGGAAGAAGGGTAAAATGGGCTTGCCAGGTCAGGGAATAGCAGAGATTCTGAGTTGTGAAAGACTGTGGATGGGATCAAAGATGGAATGAAGGCTGGAGCTTGGAGTGAGTGAGGGGAGGGAGCACGTAAGGCTAAAGAAGTGGATTAGACCAGGTTGATAAGAACCTTCTGAGAATAAGGGCCTTGCTAAAGATTTTGTTTTGAATATGACCTTTAAGCAGAGCATTGTATGACCAGATTTGGTTTTTAGTAAGTAATTGTAATAGGATTATGGAGAATGGTTTGGGATGGATAGAGTCTGGGTCAACAGGACCATTTCGCAGGACTTTGAAGTAGTCTAAACAAGAGAGGTCAACACAGGGCTGTTAAGAGGCAGAACGAGGATTTAATGCAGATCTCTCTGCCTCCAAAGCTATGCTTTTTCTACAACTTGATGATTATTACCAACCCCTCCAAGGTGCACGTAAGTGATGGCCCATTTAGGAACCTGTTCTAAACTATTGTGGGTTTTTTCCCCTTTTTCTGTTTATCTTCTGTATGATCTTGAATCAACATTATGATATGAACCTAGTCTCTCCCCATTTTTAAGGAGGGGATTGTCAGTTCTTAGTACCTCCTTTCAGGACTTTTACTGAAACCTGATTAAAGAATACATTAGCACCGTCTAGTAAATGGGAGCTACAAGTCACCCTGATCTACAAAGTCATTCCAAGGTTATTTGTTACATTATGTGGTTTTAATTTTTTCATTGTAATATCTT